GCATATCCTCCCACGCTGCCCTCTCCCCGGCCGATTCGGGGGCCCCATCCTAACCTGCAGAAAACAATACAACATCTACGTTTCTCCTCTCAACATGGACGTCCTTTTGGTCCACGTCGCGAAACGCGTGGCAGGACTGGGACGCGGCGCACTCCCCGCGCGAAAGGGCGAAATGTTGCTCTCTCCTCGGCGCCGCGCGCACTTTTTCTGAAAGTGACGCTCCCGCCAAGGCGGGGCGCACATTTTTCGCTCGCCAATTTGTCGAGCGCCTGGGGCCTCCTGGGGCTTCTTGGGGCTTCCAGGGGCCTCCTGAGGTGCCCTGGGGCTTCCGAGGCTTCCTGGGGTCTCCTGGGGCTTCCATGATGAAGCCTCTTGAAGCCTATTGGAGTTTCCTAGGGCCTCCCGGGGCCTTTTTATGGGCCTCCTGTGGCCTCCTGTGGCCCGCCAATCCGGGACGACGACGACGACGACGACGACGACGACGACGACGACGACGACGACGACGACTACTAATACTATCATTATTCTACTACCAGTATTATTACCACTACTACTACTTCTACTACTACTACTACTACTACTTCTACTACTACTACTACTACTACTACTACTACTATTATTACTACTACTACTACTACTACGACTACTACGGCTACAACAGTTATTTCTATTATTATTACTACTAGTACCACCATTACTACTACTACCACTGCTACCAAACGAGTACTACTACTACTGCTACTACTACGACTGCGACTACTACTACTACTACTACTACTACTACTACTACTACTACTACTACTACTACTACTACTACTACTACTACTACTACTATACTACTACTACTACTACTACTACGATTTCTACTACTACTACTACTACTACCACCACTACTACTTCTACCACTACTACTACTACTACCACTACTACTACTACTACCTACTCTACTCTACTCTACTCTACTCTACTTTACTCTACTCTACTCTACTCCACCACTACTTTTTGTTCTTATTCTTACTACTACTACCACTACTACTTCTACAACTACTACCAGTACGATTACGACGACAATTACTATTACTACTACTAGTACTACTACTACTACTTCTACCACTACTACTACTACTACTACTCCTACTACTACTAATATTACTACTACTAGTACTACTACTACGACCACCACTACTACTACGACGACCACTACTACTACGACGTCTACTACTACTACTACTACAAGTAATACAACTACTACTACGACGACTATTGCTGCTACTATTTACTACAACTACCGCTATTACTATTACTACTACTAGTACTAGTACTACTACCAACCATTACTACTACAACTACCACTGCCACGCTTATTACTATTGGTATTATTACTACTACTAGTACAACTACTACTACTACTATGACTACTACTACTACTACTACTACTACTACTACTACTACTACTACTACTAGTACTATTAGTACTACTACTATTACTACTACTACGACTATTACTACTGCTACTACTACTGCTGCGATTCTTACGACGACTACTACTATTACGACTACTACTACTACTACTACTACTACTACTACTACTATTTGTACGATCAGTATTACTACTCTTAGTCGTACGACTACTACTACTACTGCTACTATTACTACTACTTCTAATACTACTACTACTACGACTACTACTACTTATATTACTATCACTACTACTACTGCTACGATTACTACTACTACTACTGCTACTACTACTGTCACTACTACTACTACTACGACTACGACTACGAATGCGATTATTCATACTACTAGTAGTACTATGTTGACTACAACTACGGCTGGTACTACTACTATTACTTCTACTAGTAGTAGTAGTAGTAGTACTACTACTACTACTACTGCTACCACAACAACAACTACTACTACTACTACTACTACTTCTACGGCGACTACGATTCGGATTACGATTCGGACAACGACTACGATACGACCACGAAGACTGCGACGACTACGGCTACTACTGCGACTACGACTACGACTGCTACTATCATGATTACTACTACTGCTACTACTACTACTACTACTACTACTCTGCTGGTGCGGCTGCTGATACTTCGACTACTACTTCTTCTACTATTACTACTGCTACGATTACAAGTACGATCACCATCGCTAGTAGTATGACTCTGACTATGGCTGTTACGACCCATATTCTTACAATTATTCTACGACTACTACACTATTACTGCACTATTATTCTCATTATCCGACTACTATTGTTTCTAGTAGTAGTAGTACTACTACTAGTACCACGACTACGACTACTATTCTTACTTCGACTGGTACTACTACTACTACTACTACTACTACTACTACTACTACGACGACTGCGACTACGACTAATGTACTGCTACTTTTACTAACACTATTTTCACTACTATTTTTTCTTCTCGTTATTACTATCACGAGTATTAGTACACCTACTACTACTACTACTACTACTACTACTACTACTACTACTACTAGTACTACTACTACTAGTACTACTACTACTACTACTACTACGACTACTACTACTACTACGACTACTACTACTACTACTACTACTACTACTACTACTACTACTACTACTACTACGACCACGATCACGACTACTACAACAACTACTACTACTACTACTACTACTACTGCTACTGCTGCTACTACTACTAATACATACATACACACATACATACATACATACATAGTACGGCTACTACTACTACTGCTGCTACTGCTCCTACGACTCCTTCTACTACTAGTACTACCACTTCTATGTGTATTGGTCGTGCGGCTCCTGGTTGTGCCGGCAGTGTTTCTTATGTTGTGGGGGGGCGAGTGGGAATGGGCATAGCTTGACTCCCACTCACTCTTATACACGTCGCGACGGCTGGAGCCCCGTCGAACAACAGGTCTGGGTGGATCCCGGAAGGGGTTTGGGGACCAAGTGTAAGGTCGGCGGCGAGCGAGGGGGGGAGTGAGAAGGAGAAGGCCTTCTCAGAAGGACCGAGGTGGAGGAGGAGAAGGAGCAGTTGGAGGAGGAGGAGGAGCAGGGCCGGCCGCCAGCCCAAGGGTTAAGTGAGAGGGGGCGGGCCTTTCCAGAATGCTCGGGAGCCCCCCCAGCCTTCTGAGAAGTTTTCCAAGCCCTCCCCGAAGACGCAAAAAACCTTTCGATCAAGGCCGGAGGCCTTCTGAGAAGCCCCGCCGCCTTCTGAGAAGGCATTATTTTTCTCATTTGCCCCCCTCGCTCGCCGCCGAGGTTCAGCAGCTTGATTCCTCTCAATTCGCGGGGTGCACGTCCGGAGCACTTGCAGTCCAGACGTTGTGGGGCTTGGTGGAAACATTTTGGGGCCTCTTGGGGGCCTCTTGTCGGTTTTTGGGGGCCTCTTGGGGGCTTCTTTGGGGCCTCTTGGGGCCTCTTGGGGGCGTCTTGGGCAGTCTTGGGTCGTCCAACTGCGGCTACGCAGGTTTGGTGCGCCCTGCTTGCTGGAAATCTTAGTGCGGCCGCAGGAAAAAAAACAACTGGCGCAGTGTGTTGGTGTGAGGTGGTTTGACCTGCTCGTCTGCCGCCGCGTGGGTTTCGCACGCCGTTCGGCCGTCTCGGCTTCGTCCAGATTGCCTGTTGCGCGCATCGTGGAAGTCATCTGGCGCATCTGGGGCCTCTTGGGGGCCACTTTGGACTGCTCGGAGTAGTTCGGAGCATTTGCAATCCAGTCGTTTGGAGGCTTCCGTGGGCCCTCCTGAGGGACTCCTGGGGTCCTTTTGGGGGGCCTCCCGGGGGTCTCTTGAGGTCGTTTCGGACCGTCCTGGGGCGATTTAGGTTTCTTGGGGACCTTTTGGGCGCTTCTGGGGGGCCTCTGGGGGGCCTCTTGGGAGCTTCTCTGAGCGCCGTGCGGGCGTCTTAGGCCGTCTTGGTGCGCTCTTGCGCTGTCTGGTCCCTTCGCAGGCCATCTTGGGGGCCTGTAGAGGCCGCATTGGGGCTCTTTCGGGGTCCTCTTGGGCCGTCTTGGCGGCCTCTTGGGGCGTTTCGGGGGCCTCTCTGGGCCGTCTTGGGGCTCTCTTGGGCCGTCTTGGAGCCTTCTTGAGGGCTTCTTGGGCCGTCTTGGTGCACTTTTGGAGGCTGCTTCGGCCGTCCTGGGCCTGTGGGAGTCGACGCAGGCGAGAACGTAAAAATCCGTCAAAAGCCAATGGGAAATCTATGATTTTGGCTTCTGGAGGCGCTCTTGAAGGTCCTCTCGGGGCCTTCTCGGGGCGTGTTGGGAGTTTTTTCGGCCCTCTTGGGCCATCTTGGGCCATCTTGGGGCCGTCCTGGGCCTTCGCGGGGCCATCTGGAGCCGTCTTGAGGCCCTGTTGGACCTCCAAGAGGGCCAACAGGCCCACATCACTGATTCTCCATAGGTTTTTGAGCCACGGGAAGGGGTCTCCACCCTGGTTCGACGGATGTGGCGTTGCGCTGGGGGGGGGTACGGGGGGGAGACATACTATTGCAAAACAGTACCATAAAACGAAATTGTGCAATACGCTACATTAAGGCGCCCATTGCATTACGGCATCCGCGGACCTGCCTCCGGCAACACGTCACTGCCGGACGTGGATTCCTCTCGCTTCGCGGGGTGCACGTCCGGATTGCGGAGAGTTCGGGCGTTTGGGTCGTTTTGGAACACGTTCGTCAAAATCAAATGGCATCGATTTCGTGAGAGTTGGCTGACTTTTGGGAGCGCCACAGGCCGTCTTCGGGCGCGCTAGGGTCGCATGAACCCTTCGAGAGCCGTCTGAAAGAGGTGCGCTGGACCTTGCCGCGTGCGTCGAGCTAGGCGCAGTATCTCAACGTTCGGTCGGCTGACCACATGTACAAGCTCTGGGGGGAGAAGAGTATCAATGTCACGCTGCCATGGGGGCCCAGCAAGCGTATTACTGTCGATCTGCGTCGTCTTTTTGAGGGACAACGAGGGAGTATCACGCCGATGGCGTCATGGAGCACCACGCGGCAGCATGACATTGACACTCCCCTTCCGACAAGCGTCGCACATGCATGGAGGACCAGCTTGCGCAGCCCTTTGATGAAGCTGTCTGTACGATGCGCAAGAGCGTTTTTGGGCGCCTCAGTGAGGCTTCTTGGTTTTCAGAAGGCTCTTTAGGGCTTCGTGGGGTCATGCCTGTCCGTTTGGAGGCATTTCGGCTGGTTGGGAGCTCGTCTGACCCGTCCGGAGGCCGTTTTGGAGCTTCTCGCGGCCGCCTTGGGGGGTTCTTGGGGACCTTTTGGGCCTTCTTGGGGGCCTCCTGGTTTGTGTTTGGGGCCGTCTTTGGTCCCTTCGGGGCAGTCTTGGGCTATTTTGGGGGGTCTCTTGGGCCTTCTTGGGGCAATTTTGGCCGCTGCTTTGGTCGTCATGAGTTTTTGAAGGTCGACGCAGGCGAGAACGCTAAACGTGTTTTAAAAGCAATGGAAGATCAAGGTTTTTGGTCTCTGGAGGCTTTTGTGGGCGCTTTTGGGCCCTCGTGGGCCGCCTTGAGGGCTTCATGAGCCCTGGAGGGGCAATCTTGGGCCGTCTTGGGGCCAGCTTGGCTGGCCCCGAGGCAATCCTGTGCAATTTTGCGGCTCTCTTTGGCCCCCCAGAGGCCCAAATCGCAGATCTCCTATTGTTTTTCCTACAGGTCTCAAAGCCCGAGAAGGGGGGTCTTGTCGGAAGGGCGTGACTCCAGGGGGGGTTAGGGGGAGACATAATAATTTAATATAATGCACGACGTAGCAATTCTGCAATCATTTGATACATTGGATACGTCGCATCACAGCATCCGCGGAAAACGCCGCCGCTCAGTACTTCACCTCCGGACGTGGGTTCAAAAGGCTTACGCCATTCCGCCGACCATGGACCGGACAGGACCACGTAGAATTCAGTCGTTGTGGGGACCTTTGGGATCCTCTGTGGGGCCTGTTGGAGGCGTCTCGGGGGCGTCCTTGGGGCTTCAGGGGGGCGTCCTTGGGGCCTGTTGGGGTGCTCTTGCGCCGTCTGGTCGTTTCAGAAGCCGTTTTTGTGTGGCCTCTTCCCGTGTCTTAATGGGCCGTATGGGGGCTGTCTTGGAGGCTGCTTCGGCTGTCGTGGCCCTCGAGAGTCGAAAATTGCGAGACCGCTGAAATCGCTAACACAATGAAACCTATGTGTTTTGCTTCTGGAGGCGCTCTCGGTCGTTTCCTTGGGGCCTTCGGGGGCAACCATCGGGGTCATGTTGGGCCGTCCTGGGCCGTTTCGAAGCCATGGCTCTGCCCGCCATGGGGCGTTGCCAGCCCCAAGGGGGAGGGGGGCGGGTGCATCTCGTCGCTTCAGGGCCTTTGAGGCCGTCGCCTCGTTTGAGTCATTTTTCGTCGGTTGAGTCCCCTTTCGTCGGTTGAATCCCTGTTGGTTTCGCTTGGGGTTCGCACGCCGTGCATGCCGCGCGGCCGTCTCGGAGTCGGTCGGGGGGCCTGCAGCGCGCATCGTGGAAGTGATCGGACGGCTCTGGGGCCTCTGGAGGGTCTCTGCGAGCTGCTCAGTGTATGTCCAGTCCAGTTCTTTGTTGGGTGGTTTCTTGGGGCCTCTTGGAGGCTTCTTGGGGGCCCTGGGGGGGCCTCTGGGGGCCTCTTGGGGGCCTCTTGGGACTTGTTGGTGGCGTCTGGGGCCGTCTTGGGGCGCTCTTGCGCCGTTCGGCCCCTTCGGAGGCTGTCTTGGGGGCCTCTCGGGGCCGCCTTGTGGCGATCTTGGGGTCCTCTTGGGCCGTCTTGGAGGCCTCTGGGACCGTCGGGGGCCTCTTTGGGCCATCTTGGAGCCCTCTTGGGGTGTCTTTGGGTACTCTTCTGGGCTTTTTGGGTCGTCTTGGATCAATTTCGGAGTCTGCTTGGACCGCCATGGGCCCCTGAGAGTCGAGAAGGGCGAGAACGTTGAGAAACTTCAAAACCGCATTGAAAATCAATGGTGTTGGCCTCTGGATGCGCTCTTGGGGGTCCTCTTGGGGCTCTCTTGGGGCGTCTTGGGGGTTTTTGCAGCCCTGTTGGGGCCATCCTGGACCGTCTTGGGGGCGTCCGCGCCCGTTTTGAGGCCATCGAGAGCCGTCATGAGGCCCTCTTGGATGCCCCAAGAGGGCGAACAGGCTGAAAGCATAGATTTTCTGTAGGTGTTGGTCTGTCTTTGGGCCCCGGAAGGGGGGGTCAGGTTGGGTCGACGGATGTGGCGCAGCGCTGGGGGGGGGGTTCGGGGGGGGTGGCAAAATAATGTAACACAACTCAATATGCCGAATCATGTCAGAACGGGATACATTGAAATTGTGCAATCATTGGACACATAGGATACGTGGCATTATCGCTTCCGCAGAAAACGCTGCCGCTCAGCACGTCACTTCTGGACGTGGATTCTACATGCTTACGCCACATCCACCCATCTTTTTTCCCAGTATATCGGGTTCTCCGGTCGTCGGGTTTGCTTTGCGGGTTTTTGTCGGTTTTCGATATTTGTTATCGATTTCGGCCTTTGGAGGCCTTGTTCGGGCTCCTGGACCGTCAAATATGGAATGGCCTTCAGCCCATCCTGCCACTGTGCCTGGGCTGTGGGTCAGATTCAGGACTTGTTGGTGTCTCTTCGGAGCGCTTTCGGGGGAGTATTTGGGAGCAGTTTGGGGGCCTATTGGGAGCCACTTCAGGGCCTCTTGGGAGCCTCTTGGGGGCCTCTTTGGTGCCTCTTGGGGGTTCTTGCGTGCCTCTTGGGGCCTGTTGGAGGCCTCTTGCAGGCCTCTTGGGGCCTCTCGTGGGCCTTCCGAAGCGGTCCGTTCGTCTTGGAGCTGTCTTCGGGGGCTCGCGGGCCGTTCCCTGGGGACGTCTCGGGCGGCTGGGGCACCCGAACTCCCCAAACCGAGCGGCGCCGGACCGTGCGGTGGGGTCTTCGGGGATGTCAAGGTCGCCGCACGGTCTGTCCTGCCACGTTTTTGGGGACCTCTTTGCCCTTGTCTCCCGCACGAAATCATCCCCTTCTCCCGAGTCCTCTCTCCCCAATCGACTTTGTCGCCATCTGGGGCGGCTGGCCCAGGCGACTGGAAAGTTTGTGCCCCTGCGGCAGCACGCGAGAATACCAGCCGCCCTGGGACAGGCGTTCCCGACTTCGACAGAGCTCAGCTTGCACCGTTCTTCGCCCGTTGACCGAGTGGTGGAGGCGCAGAAGGTGCAGGTGTACCTTTTGCTGGCCCCTCGCAGGACTTCGCAAGCAGCTTCGAAACGCGCCACTGGGGAGACGGCGGCGGATCTGCGCTGGCTGGGCAGGGCTCGGCACCCCAGAGCTCGCTCGCCGCCGTCATGAGCTCGAGGTTCTGGGCATATGATAAAACTGCATAGTATGTTGCGTACTCGCGTACATGCATCACACACACGCACGCACGCACGCACACAACACACGACACACAAAACACAAGACACAACACACCACACACACACAGACACACACACAGACGCACACACACAGACACACACACACACACACCGCGAGCATCATCAACACAATACCCACATTACACAACACGGACAGCCAAACTTTGGGATTCCGCCCGTTTTGGTTTCGAAACCGGCTCGATCCTACCCATACAGTGTTTGCACTTACAGTTTGTTATTTTGGTTCGAAGGAGCGTGGCGTGTCAGCCAGTCAGGCGGCTATGTTCTCGTCGTCGCCGCCCGTCGTCTGGGTCTGTCTGCTGGTCTGGCGGCTATGTTGTCGCCGTCGCCGCCAGTTCGCCGCCTCGTCGCCGCCCGTCGTCTGGGCCTGATTGTTGGTCTAGCAGCTGTGCTGCAGCCGTCGCCGCCCCGTCATCGTCCAAATTGCACAATTTAGTTTCTTTGTTCTAACGGAGAGTTGCGATCTGCCCCCTCCTGTGATTATTCATTCGGGGGATGGACGATTTTCATGCGATGTTGCCCCGTCGTTTTCCGTATGGACGCATACCATCCCAGCCAAACCAGCGATCTTTTGTCATCCCTTGCAAGTTATATTGTGCGCTGGCGCCCATAAGTCCCGGAGTAGCAAGCATCTCGTCCAAAAGAGCGGGACGAAGTCCGTATGCGCGCGTCGTCGCGCGCGCATTCAGAAATTTCTAAACAGTTTTTGGTTTCGCAAGGATCTCAGAAACAATGGCCCCGAAAAGGAGACAATAAGAAATATCGTGTTGCAACACGTCTTTCGTTAAATATCCAAACGCGCGCGCCCTCGCGACTGTTTTGGAAAATCGGTGATCTTTCAATCTTTTCATCAACTGCGACCAAGCGGACCTTCCGCGCGAGCGTGTCGGAGTCAATCGGACGTCCTTGCGCGCGTGCTGGGGGGCACGATCCCTTTCAAATCGGATCATGCGGGCCACTGCACCCGTCGGCCGCCCGCGCATGTCGAAATCTTCGCGCAAACTTCGTCGCCGACGCGTCGGCGCCATCCAATCGGTGTGATCAGCTTTGGCGCCGTCAGTGGCCTTGCCGTCGTCAGCGTCATTGTGGTCGTCAACGCCGCTACAATCATCATCGTGTCTGCTGTCGTCAATGTCGCCGTGATCCCGCGCCCGCCCGAGCCACCGGCCCGCACTGAAGTGCCAGCGCGTCAGCGTGGCTTGCGAGACGTGTTGCGAAGGGCCCAGCGTTCAGCGTCACTGCGGCCGCGTCGGTCGCGCCAGACTAGCTGGCCGCTCTGCGCGCAAGCCTGCGCGCGCCAGCGCGGCCGCGCCGATGCGCCAGCCAACGGCACGCAGTCATCGCAATCGCCGCCGCATTTGTTTTGCAAACCGAGGTGCAGGTCGGCGGGTAGGATGATTGCGCGAGCAGTGGAGATTTCATTTTCAAATTCAGAAGGTCGAGTTTCACCACATAGATACTCCTTTCGTTTTGTTGTAAGTATGTATGTGTATATATATACATACATACATACACACATATATGTATATACATATACACATATATATATATATATATATATATATCAACCTTGGATCCCCCACCTCTTCCCCAGACCGGACGTATCCCAGTCTGGGGATGCGCAGTTTAGATCTGAGTATGCCCCATCGTTCGTTCTAAATATGGAATCGCATGATCCCAGTCAAACCGGCATCACCCCCTTCGTCTTTTGCAGAAACAAGCCTACTATGCGCGCGCACTCGTCTATCACGAAGCATGGGGCCAAATGCATGGGGCCAAATGCACGCGCGCGCGTCGTCGCGCGCGTATGCCAGAATCGTGAAGAACACCTGCTTCGCAAAGGTTTCACAACCCAGATTTCCGACAACGCATTACAACAGTGGTGTGGTGCAATTTGCGTGTAAAAAATTGTGCGCGTTCAAGCGACTTCTCCAGAAAACAACAAACAGGCAACATCCAATTCGACCAAGCGTGTCTGTCGCGCGCGCGTGTCAAAATCTTCGAACATCCTTGTACGCGCGCTGTGGGGGGGAAGGGGGGCGCGATCCGCGTCAAATGGTGCCGCGCGGTCCACTCTCGCCCGTCGGCCACCCGCGCATGTCGGAATCTTTCCGAAACCCTCATCGCCGACTCGTCGGCGCCATCCTCGCCATCGGCGTGATCCGCATCGGCGCCGTCCTTGGCCTTGCCGGCGTCATCGTCGTCGTCGTCGCCAGCATCGCTACAATCATCATCGTGTCTCCTGTGGTCGACGTCACCGTGATCCCGCGCCCGCCCGAGTCACCGACTCGCACTGAAGTGCCCGCGCGTCAGCGCTGCCTGCGAGACAGACTCAAAAAGGCCCAGCGTTCAGCGCCATTGCGGCCGCGTCGGTCGCGCCAGGAAAGCTGGCCGCTCTGCGCGCGAGCCTGCGCGCCCCAGCGCGGCCGCGCCGATGCGCCACCCGGCGCTGGGCAGTCATCGCAATCGACGCGGCGTGGGTTTTGCAAACCGAGTTGCGGCTGCGGCTGTGTGGGTGGGACGATAGCCCGAACATTGGAGTTGACAGCGTCAAAACCGGCAGGGTGAATTGCGTCGCATATTTCGCACCACGTATATCGTTTTCTTTACGAAGGAATGAGGATCGACCCCCCCTTCCACGCACGCGCGCGCGCCCCGCCCCAGCCCCCTGCCGGGAGTATCGATGCACCCATGGGACGTGTAGTTCACATAAGATACGATCTGGCCCCATCTTATTATGCCGCCCCTGACCAGTCGCATTACGCGCGCACTCGTTTATCACAAAGCATCTGTTCGTTGGAATCCCTTGCGCACCAGGGAAGCAAAATGCGTTCGGGCGTGTCGTCGCGCGCGCGTGCAGACATCATTCGGAAACCATCGGTTTCATAAGGGTTTCAAAATCGAGTGCCTCAAAAATGTAGAAGAAAAACGTGGTTTCACAACAGGGTTTGTTTTAACGCAGTTTTGGGCGCGCGTAGTTGCGATTCCCTTCTTAATTTTAATCAATTGCGGCCGAGCGGGCCTTTCGCGCGTGCATGTCGGAATCATTTGAACGCCCTTGCGCGCGCTGGAGGAGGGGGAGGAGGAGGAGGAGGAGGAGGAGGAGGACGAATAACAATAATAATAATAATAATAATTGTAATGATAATAATAATACTGATAACAATACGAATTATACGAATAAGAATAATAAGAAGACGAATACTAATAACAATAATAATACTCATACTACTACTACTACTACTACTACTACTACTACTACTACTACTACTACTACTACTAATAATACGAATACTAATACTAATACTAATACTAATACTAATACTAATACTAATACTAATACTAATATTCATACTACTAATAATACTAATAGTAATAATAATAGAAATACGAATACCAATACTAATAATAATAATGATAATACTAATAATGATAATACTATTCATAATAATAATATTAATACGAATAATATTAATACTAATGATAATAATAAACCTATTAATATTATTATTAATAATACTACTAATAATTATAATAATAATACGAATAATAATACTACTACTAATAAATAATAATACTAATGATAATAATATTAATACTAATAATAATAATACTAATACTAATAATAATAGTACTAATAGTAATACTAATCATATCAACAATAATAATAATATTAATAATAATACTAATACTAATAATAATAATAATAATAATAATAATAAAAAAAATCATAATATAGATAATAATAGGAGGAGGAGGGAGGAGGAGGACCAGGAGGAGGAGGAGGAGAAGGAAGAGGACCTGGAGGAGGAGGAGGACCAGAAGGAGGACCAAGAGCAGGAGGACAATCATGAGGAGGAGGAGGAGGAGGAGGAGGAGGAGGATCAGGAGGAGGAGGAGGAGGACAAGGAGGAGGAGGAGGAGGAGGAGGAGGAGGAAGAGGGCCAGGAGGAGGAGGAGGAGGAGGACCAGGAGGAGGAGGACCGCTCTTCGCTCGCGTCGGGAAGCTCTCTCCGCAGGAGAAGGGCCGCATCGGATGGGTGGTAGCACTGGGGGCAGTGGCCGCGGCATTCGGCAGTGGGGGCGTGGCCCGGCCAAGACCTTCTCCGTCAGGTGTGCCAGGGGGCCTTCGGCGCGGTCTTGCACAGGCGCGGGCCCTGCGGCGTGCGCGAGGGGGTGTTGCCGCGTGAGTTGCCTCCACCTTCTGCGGAGGGCCTCGTCGGGGCCTCTATCGGCGCCTTTCCTCGCCTCCTCGCCTCACGTTGCGCCCCCTTTTTTTAAGGCCACATCGAGTTTGTTCGCGGGCGGGCCCATGGAGATAGGGGGCTGTGGTTTTTCTTGTTGGGTCCAGGATGGACCCAGGGCCCCCGAGAGCCTCGAAGGCGCTCGCGTGGGCCCTAGTGGCTGTCGGCCCCGACAGCTTCAGACATCTTTCGGTTTTCTGTGGCGCGCTGGCGATGGGTGGCGCTGATGTCGATGCCGCCGAAGTGGTCGCGCTGCTTTTTGGGCTTCAGCGAGTCGTGCCAGGCGCTGTCTTTTGTGCGGACTGTCAGTTTGTGCACGAAGGGCTTTATTTGAGTGGCCGCAAGTTCTGCGTAGACAGCCGCGGCGCGTGGGCTGGGACCCGCATCCAAGTCTGGCACCAGGTCGACGAGATGGGGCAGTCTCGAGCAGGTGCGAGTTGTCAGAGTCAAAGCGCGCTGCGCGCGAGCTGCGGTGCAGAGGGATGGCACTTCTTACCACCTGCACGCAGGCAGTGCCATGGCGGACGACTGGGCCCAGTGGCAGTGCGACAGGTCGAGGGCCCCCGAGCCATGAGGCCAAAGCCAAGGTCGTGTCTCAAAGGGCGGCGTGGACTGCCAGGATAGGCACAGCCATGGCTGATGTTGGTGCTCTCGGTTGCTCTCAGCAGGAGAAGCGCAAACAGGTGACAGCGAAGCCTCAAGCGTCTCCTGGCCCGCCCTTGCCTCTTGCTATGCTGCCGCCGCCGCTGGTCGTGCCTCCCGCCCTCTCGAGAGCCGGCCTGGCCATCGCCGGGGCCGTTGTCAGCGGAGGGTGGCAGCGCGCCGCCCGCCCGTTGCAGGTGGTGGGGGGGAGCTTGGGCGAACTTGGTGCCTGGTGTGCCGCGTGTGCGGGATGGGGGGGGGGGCCTCGGGGCGACCTCCCCCAGCATCCTGGGGGGCGAAGGTGCTGTCGAACCTGGGCATGCGCCTTTCGCAATTCCAGATTAACGAGGTTTAGCGTCCCCTCGTCCAGAGTTTCCGACCTGCGGACCTGGTGCGAGTAGGCGAAGCAGGATGATCCATTTGTCGTTTTTCTTTTCAGGCCCAGGCCTGGGTGTGATGCCTGCGGAGGTGGCGCACGTCAAAGGGCACGAACCGCCCTCTGCGGTCGGTCGAGGCGCGGACGTTTCGTTCCGCCTTATGCTGCGTCGAGGAGGACGCGGAGAAGGATGAGGAGGAGGAGGAGGAGGAGGAGGAGGAGGAGGAGGAGGAGGAGGAGGAACATGGGGGAGGGCAGGAGGAGGAGGACCAGCGTCAGCAACAGCAACAGCAGTAGGAACAGGATGATCAGGGGGAGGAGTAGGAGTAATGCACTCGAGCGGCTCCTGCAGCATTGGCGCGCGTGGCATGACAAGTGCTGCTTCGCAAAGGCTGACTGGAATGGGTCGGAGCCTCGTTGCATTCCTCTTGCCGTATGCTGGACGGGGACAGCGCATCAAACGGCGTGATCTTTCCGGCTCCACTCCAGGGAGTGCGTGGAGGCGGCGCTGCGTGAGCTGGAGGGGAGCATCTGCAAGGCCCGTGATCGCCCGGCTTTCCCGAGAGCCCACGGGTGAAAAACTGGAGCGCGTTCGGCACCCGTCCTCATCCCTGCCAGTTCCACCAGAAGTGCTTCCGCTCGAGGGACACCAGTGCTTCACATGCGCCCACGGGGGAAGGCGGATGGGGTCACGCTGCTCCAAAAGGGCTGCGACATTTCTCTGGCTCCCCCTGGCTTGCTGTAGAAAGCCCGCGGCTGCGGAGGAGGCTTCGAAAACTTCCCACAGGGCCGGACACTTTGTGAGCCTTCTGCGAAAGCCCGCCGCCTCCTGCCTTCCCCCGGGGGCGCCGCCGAAGAGTGCTCCGGAGGGTGCGCGCTCCCACCGCCCAGGGGGTCCCTCTGGGAGCTGCCTCTGTTCCGCTGGACGGCCCAGGGACCGCCCGCGGGGCCCCGCTTTGGACCGCCCCTGCCCGCTGGGTCCAGTGGCTGCCTGGGCCCTGCCAGTCGATCGGGGGTTGCCAGAAGTGCCCCCGGGATCTCCAACGAGGCCTCCATGCGACACTTTCAGGGGCAACACCACGGCGGGACGCGCCCGGGGGGGCAATGCTTTCGAGGTGTTCGGGCGTTTTCGTTGGTTCCTGGCGGCGTTCCAGCCCCGGGGTGCTCACAAGCAGCTGCGCCTCGCCGAGAGCGTTCTGGGGGTGCCCGAAACGTCCCGAACGGCCGCCGGAGAGCTGAGCCGTGACCCACCGTCAGGGGGGATCGGCCTCCAATCGCCCACTCATCGACGATGGGGTCCTGATAGCCCACCCCGCCCAGGAGTCTGCGGATTCGAGATCGGGGGCTTGCCGCCGAGATCTACCATCAAGTTAACGGAACGTATGTTATCCCAACGTGCGTTCACCCCGCTCAGCTGCTTCGACTGATCATTGCACCGCTTGCGTCGTGTTCAGGGGCTTCGACGGAGAAGCACATGCCGTGGCGTTAACACAGGTTCCGAGGATCATCGATCGACGGGGCTTCGGGCGACCCATCCCGAGCCTAGGAGCGGCGTGGACGCCTCCCTGGCCATGCCAGCAATGCCAGGGAGAGCGCACGCACTGCTCGTCTGGCCCCAGGAGCATGGCCCCGGCCGGGGGCAGAGGATGTGAGTAGATCTCGTCGCCCCAGGGCAGCTCGCAGCTGCCCCCCCCCACCCTGCGGCCTCGCCCCGGGGGCTTGCGGGGGGGATGGAGGGGGGCGCTGCTCGACTTCAGCGCCCTGTCCACTTCCGCAGGCTCCGTCCAGGCTGCAAAGCAGCGGGCCCGGCCTCTCGGCTTCGCCTTGCTCTGGCCAGTTGTCCCCCCGCCGTCTCCCCGGCCCTGGGTTGGCAGCCTTCCCGTTTTCTTGGGCTCTTCCTCCAGGCCCGGACAGCTTTTCCAGCACCGGCCAGTTCCACTTTTGATTCTCGGCCTTCGCTTGCTCCTGCTGGTCCTCACTGGCTGGTAGGCCTGGCCTTCGGGGCGCCACTCGGCCCACGGGAGCGCCCTCGCATCACCCGTGGCCAACGGCTAGAGCTCCATGGGAGTCACGTCGGGCATCTGCCGCCCGAGCAGCAAGTCGGCTCGGACGAGATCTGAAAGAGCGCCGTGGGAGCTCGCTTGGAGGAAGTCAGAGGGGGCGGAGGGGCTTCAGACCCCTCACCCGCCCCCTCCAATGTCCCCTCCCCCTCTCTCTCCAGAGTCAAAAGTCGAGGGGGTTCAACTCCCCCACCAGTTCCTGCAAACAACGACGATGAGGACCGGACCACGACGACGACGACGACGACGACGACGACGACGACGACGACGACGACGACGACGACGACGACGACGACGACGACGACGACGACGACGACGACGTGTGCCGCCCGCCCTCCCGACCGCCTCGCGATGACGTCGACGACGTGTTCTGCCCCCGCCCGACCGACGGACTCGGCGACGCCGACGACGACGCGCGCCCGCCCGCCCGAACGACGCTCTGTGCCCGGCGCGAGGAATTGATGACGACGACGCGGCGTGCAGGGGGGGTGAAATTCTCTTCCCCCAACTCTGGGAGGGGTGGCGAGGAATGGCGGGGGTTCTCACCGGGGACGGGAGGGGGGAGGAGGAAGGAGTTCCAGAGAGTGGGGGGATGATTTCCAGGAGAGAGTTCTAGGAGAGAGTTCCAGGAGAGAGTGGGGAAGGAGTTCCAAGAGAGAGTTCCAGAGAGTGGAGGGAGTGGGAGGAAGGAGTTCCAGGGAGTTCCAGAGAGCGGGGGCCGTTATGGAGCGGGGGAGGCAGGAAGGGATTGGGTGGGGGGGTTTCGCACCGGGGAGGGAAGGAGGGAAGGGGTTCTGGAGAGGAGGGGGGATTTTCGAGTGGGGGAGGCGGTTCCAGAGCGGGGGAGGTTGGGATGTTGTACCAGTGAAGCGTATGTACACAGAAGACGCTCTCTGCGAGATCTGCCGCATGTAGCTGATTTCGGGGCCGCCCCAAGCCTTTTTATTCGAGCCGATTTGCTACCTTTCCCTCCGCTATTCCAGTTGTCCGATATGTTGTCAGTTTCTATCCGCGGCCTCAGAGGTCTCGACCCCTTCCCCTGGGATAGTTCTCCGTCCCAGGCCCAGTTTTGCTGGCCCCAGGCCCCGCAAATGGCCCCCGGAGGCTGAATTCGCAGAAGAACGCCAGGACTGAACGAATCAATCCGCGGAATGTTTGGGACCCCCCACTTCGCCCGACCCGAGAAATGCTGAACGAACAACACGCACCCATATCCATAGAGGGGACGGAGGGGACCATGGGTGCGTGTTGTCGGATGGTGCTCCCCGCTCGAACGGGGCACCAGAGACTATTTCTTTATTGCTTGGGGCATGACGGGCGCCATAGCCCCCGCCCCTATGACGTAAAATTCCCCCCCCAGTACGCTCCGGGCACTGCTGCCGTGCGTATTGGGATCCACGTAGGTGTCCGCGCAGGAATCCGCATAGGAGTCTGGTCCGCAGTCGTCGTCGTCGTCGTCGACGTCGTCGTCGTCGTCGTCGTCGCTCGTGGCTCGTGGCTCGTCGCTCCTCGCTCATCGTCATCGTGCGCGCGGACGCGGCTGGTGCCTGTTTTTTAATCCGGGCCGATGACGGCAATCATCTGGCGGGGTGGAGGGTGTCGATGACTTCACGCTTTGCGCGGGCGGCGCTTGGGAATGCTTAGGGATGACGGAGGACGGGTGGCACCAGCATGTAGGTGGCGATCTGTACCACAACGCCTGTGTACACCTCAGTGTCTGCGTGCACCGCAGCGCCTGTGTACACCACGCCGCCTATGTACACCACAGCAACCGCGTGCAACACAGCGTCAACTTGTGCCACAGCGCGCGCGGGCACAACAGCTCTTGTGTACACCACAGCGCCTGCGTACACCACATCAGCCGTGTGCAACACAGCAGTGTACACCACAATACCTGCGTGCATTGCAGTGCCTGTGTACACCACGGCGCCTGTGTGCACCGCAGCAACCGTGTGCAACAAAGCACCACTGTTGTATGTAGAATGTTAGAATGAATCATTATGACAGAATGGAGCGTTTGTGGATTCCACCGAAAACCAGGGGAATCTACGAGTCCTTCCGAGTTCGCCCGCATCACCGTGACTCCTCCCATCTGCGTCCAGGAGGCTCCAGCTAAATTGGCCGTCCGAGAACCAAGTGGGCCGATTCAATCGACCAGGGGTAAGGTGGAGGAGGAGCGAGGAGGAGGAAGAAGAGAAAAAGGAGGAGGAGGAGGAGGAGGAGGAGGAGGAGGAGGAGGAGGAGGAAGTGGAGGAGAACGGAAGAGGGAAAAACGTCGCATTCGATTATCAGCATTTTCCTGGCGTGGCGCTTGCGCATTAGACCCTCACGTACAGGCTCCTTCTACCTGTCCTATGCACGCAGGCACTGTGGTGTACAATAGCGCAATAGCGCTGCGTTGCACGCGGATGCTGTGGTGTAGACAGGCGCTGTGGCGTGCACGGGCGCCGCGGTGCACGCAAGTATTCTGGAGTACACAGGCGCTGTGTTGCACATGGTTGCCTCTGGTGTTCACATGTACACCGGCGCTGTAGTGCACGCAAGCACTGCAGTGTACACAGGCGCTGCATTGCACACGGTTGTTGCGATGTACGCAGGCGCTGTGGTGTACACGCGCGCTGTGGTGCACGCGAGCGCTGTGGTGTACACAGGCGCGGGGGGGCAGATCGCCACCTACATACTGCTCGCGTCGTCGTCGTCGTCGCTCGTCACTCGTCGCGTCGTGCGCGCGGGCGCGGCTGTGGTGCCGGAGCCACACGGCGGGGGGAGGGCGTTACGTCATACCCCCCCGCCCCCCCCTCCCCATGACGCCCGTCATCGCCGAACATAAAGAAACGCTCTCCAAGGGTCTGACAACCCGCAACAGGCCCATACCAACAGCCTGTCCTCCTCCCTCCGACCCCCCGTATGGGTACTGTAGGTTCGCGTCGTGTCGACCAGAGGTGACCCCGCCGCTGGTGTTCAACGTTGGACGCTGCTGGCGACCCATAATCGGTCGATGCTGACCGATCTGACGTTTCGGAAACGGTCGATCGTTCAAGGTTGAACGATCCCCGCGGCGTCGGGATTCAACGCCGGGGTTGACACGGCACGAATCCGCGGTATTGATGTGTGTGTGTGTGTGTGTGTGTGTGTGTGTGTGTTGTTCGGTCATCGAGAGAGGGTCAGGATTCGCGTCCTCACTCGGCGGCGAGCGAGGGGGGGAAGTGGAAGTGAGAAGGAGAAGGCCTTCTCAGAAGGCGGCGGGACCTCTCAGAAGCCCTCGCGCCTCCTGAGAAGTTTTGTTTTGTGCCTCCGGGAAGGCTTAGAAAACTTCTCGGAAGGCTGGGGGACTTCCGAGCCTTCTGAGAAGGCCCGCCCCTTCTCACTTCTCCCCCGGGCTCGCCATAAAACATGTTTTCTATAAACGAGCTCCCATGTCTGGTGGCCCCGAGCGGCCGCGTCTTCAGGCGCGGGTCGACCTCGACCGCGCCGCGGCCGCTCTCCGCCAGGAGCTCGGCGGGACGATGCGCCAGGCTCGGGGGCAACGTCAGGGGGGGAGCAGGCTCGGGGGGGGGGCGCATCGACCCCCAGTCACCTCGGCTGGCCCACACGGGGGGGTCCGGGGCCACGGCGGGGGACGTTGTCGAGGTGTTCCCGGGTGTTTGCGTCGGTTCTCGGCGGCTTCAAGGCCTCGGGGTGCTCTCCAGCAGCAGCTGCGCTTCGCCGAGAGCGTTCCGGGGTGCCCGGAACGCCCCGAACGGCCGCGAATGGCCGCCGGAGAGCTCCGAGCTTGGGCCCGAAAATCGGGCGGCAAAGCTCGAGGGGGATGGGCTCGGGGGGAACGCATCGCGCCCCAACTGCCCACTCGTCGCCGACATTGCCGGTCCACCCCGCCCAGGAGCGTGCGGAGTCGCTGCGGGGGGCCTCTCGCCGAGCTGTCGGCGATCTGTCGCCGATTCCATCCAGGTCGATGCTCCCCCCCTGAGCCAGTCCCCCTTATTCAGAGGCGACGATAGGGGCGAATAGCCCAGGGGAGAGCAATACATGTATTCAGGTGCGCCGATGATCTATGTCTTCGAAAAGGCTCCCAGGCGAATACGTGTAATGGCTATTCGCCCCTATCGTCGCCGCCGACTTATCCTTGCCTCTCAAAGGTGTCCGGCGGCGACTCCGTCTCTCTGCGCCAGGTGTCGGAGGCAAGAGAGGCGACCTCACCACCACGAGGGGTGCCAACTCCAGCAAGGAGGTCCCGCGATGCCTTTCCGAGCAGAGGATTGGGGGTGTCTCGAGCTGGGGATGGGGGCACCACACCACCAGGAGCATCTTCCCTGGCGCCTCACGCTGGTGACTGTGGTGTTTCTTTTCCTTGTTTTTAAGGTGTCCCCTGGGAGCGACTGCCAGCTCAGCGGTGAGTGCAGCGGCGCCTTCCGCAGGGACCCTCGCCGCAGCGTCGTCTACCGCAGCAGTGACACGAGGCCAGACCTCCTCTTCCTCCTCCTCCTTCTCCTCCTTCCTCCTGGTGCAACGTCAGGGGCAACGTTAGGCTGAAGTCGGGCGTGTCCCTCTACAGGAGGAATATTCAAAACTAGCCAAAAATAGTAAGGGGACTATTTTTTGATTATGTTTTGCCCATTTGGGAGTATTTTTTACTATTTTTAAGTTTTCCTCCGAAATCCCCCTGTAGGGGGACACGCCCGACTTAACGTTAGGCTCGGAGGAGGAACGTGTTCGAGGTTTTTGGACGTGCTCGTCGGTTCTCGGCGGCTTTCCAGCCTCGGGGGTGCTTTCCAGCAGCTGCGCCTCGCCGAGGGGGAGGAGGAGGAGGAGGAGGAGGAGGAGGAGGAGGAGGAGGAGGAGGAGGAGGAGGAGGAGGAGGAGGAGGACGAGGACGAGGACGAGGACGAGGACGAGGACGAGGACGAGGACGAGGACGAGGACGAGGACGACGAGGAGGAGGAGGGGGAGGAGGCGGAGGAGGAGGCTGAGGCGGAGGCGGAGGCGTAGGCGGCGGCGGAGGCGGAGGCGGAGGCGGAGGAGGAGGAGGAGGAGGAGGAGGAGGAGGAGGAGAAGGAGGAGGAGGAAGAGCGTTCTGGGGGTTCCCCAAACCTCCCGGATGTCCAGGGAGAGCCGAATTCTGACCCGAAAGCCAAGGGACAGTGTCAGGGTTAAGTCTGGCCTGTCCCTCTACAGGGGGAATACTCCAAAGTAGTCAAGGAATAATATGGGGATTATTTTTTGAGTAGTTTTTGACAATGTAGGGAGGGATAGGCTCAGGAGGGAATGCATCGAGCCCACTCATCGCCGATACGGGCCCGATAGCCCACCCCGCCCAGGAGCGTGCGGATTCGCCATCGGAGGCCTCTCGCCGATCTATTGGCGATGTATCGCCGATTCCAGCTCGATGCCTCCCCCCCCGGCGCTGCGGCGCGAGGCTGAAGTTTCCAGTGCAGGTCGGTGAGAACCAGGGAGCCACCGCGGACGTCCTCACGAAGCCAGTAAGGGCGTCGTCAGAGGACGCACTGCGGGCGCGCCGACGAGCGATGAGTTTCGTAGGGGGTTGCAGCTCCAGCTCTGTGGCCTGGTCGGCACGGTTCATGGGAGATTGCTCGCGCTCGTGGCCTCACGCGCAGTCCGGTGCTCGCTGCTTTTGGGTGGCACGAAGCTTGTGGAAGTCCCAAAACGGTGCGGTGACCACACAGTTGGGAGTCAGGGTGAGCGCACGGTTTTGGGACTCGGGTCGTTCTCCAGGGATGTTTGGGGCGACGCGGGCCTCGGGGGTCCCAAGTCTATGCGGTGACGGACCGTGCGGTGAGGTCTCTGAGGATTGCGAGGCCATCGCTCGGCCTGTCGCCGCACCGCTCTGAGATCCCGGGAGTTTGTGCGGTTGTGTCCGGCGGCACGCCCAACGGCGTCGCCCGAATCATCGCGCGAGGCATCGGGCGTGTTGTGTGAAGTACCGGTGGGGGGGTGGGAGCTGCCACTCCTCGCGTTCGTTCTCATCCTCGCCCTTCGCGTCGTCCTCGTCCTCGTCCCCATCCGGCCCTATTATTTCTTCTTCCTATTCACCCTCCAGTCCTCCTATTTCTTCTTCCTATTCACCCTCCAGTCCTCCTTCCTCTCCTCATTCGCCGCCGCGTCCGCCGCCTCCTCTTCCTGCTCGCCCTTCTCTGCCTCGTTCTCTTTGTCCTCCTCTTCTGCACCCGCCTCTTCTGCCTCCTCCACTCGCGTTGTCCCTGGGCCCCAGCGGAGCGCGCTGGCCTTAATCAACTAATGATGTGAAGGGTGGATGCACAGTGATCCGACTCAGAGTCACAACATTTTCGCTGGTTTTCCTCGCGTTGTAATACCCAGCCGCAGGGGTACGTGGGCAGGACTCCCTGAGTCATTATTATTCTTATTATGTCCCTGGGTGTGAGATGATATTGAAAGTAACCAACCTGGTCGTTTGCGAATGCCAGGCCGACCAGGTCGAGGTCGAACATCAAGGGGAGCTTGCTGGACGAGGACTATGCCCGCGCTCGCCAAGATGCACACATTGTTGAAACCTATGAGGGGGGTTCAGTGTGGACATGAGGAGATGACCGCGACACCTGGGTGCATGCTTTTTTCTCAACCATCCTGTGGTGTTGGGTCCTCGTTTTGAAGAGAGCGCCCCGCGTCCCTCCCGCCTCCTCCTCCTCCTCCTCCCTCCTGCTTCCCATCCGTGCCTCTGCTCTCCGCATGCCCATCCTATTTCGGCGAACCCCCCACTGGGTTCGTGGCCCCATAGGGAGCTCCACCGAAGGCCCGAGTGGCAGCGTTCGCATGCAGTTCCACCCTCGTTTCGGCACACCCCTGACAAGGTTCGTGGCCCCATAGGGAGCTCCACCGAAGGCCCCAGTGGCAGCGTTTGCATGCAGTTCCACCCTCATTTCGGCGCACCCTTCACAGGGTTCGTGGCCCCATAGGGAGCTCCACCGAAGGCCCCAGTGGCATAGTTCGCGTGCAGTTCCACCCTCATTTCGGCGCACCCCTCACAGGGTTCGTGGCCCCATAGGGAGCTCCACCGAAGGCCCCAGTGGCAGCGTTCGCATGCAGGTCCACCCTCATTTCGGCGCAGAATCCTTAGGAATTCTTAGGAATCCTTAGGAATGCATTCCCAGAACACAATTCCCAGGCCACATTATGAATGCCCGGAGCCAATTATAGGCCACTTCGTGTTCTTCGTGTTCCCAGAACACCATTCCCAGGCCACATTTTGAATGCCCGGAGCCAACTGTAGGCCACTTCGTGTTCTTCGTGTTCCCAGAACACCATTCCCAGGCCACATTTTGAATGCCCGGAGCCAACTGTAGGCCACTTCGTGTTCTTCGTGTTCCCAGAACACCATTCCCAGGACACATTTTGAATGCCCCGAGCCAGCTGTGGGCCACTTCGTGTTCTTCGTGTTCCCAGAACGCAGTTCCTGTACCATATTTTGAATGCCTGGAGCCAACTGTGGGCCACTTCGTGATCTTCGTGTTCCCAGAACACCAGTCCTGTGCCACATTTGAATGCCCGAGCTGAGGCAGGCTGAGGCCGAGGCAGGCTGAGGCCGAGGCAGGCTGAGGCTGAGGCTGCTGAGGCTGAGGCACGCCGAGGCAGGCTGAGGCTGAGGCTGAGGCTGATGCTGAGGCAGGCCGAGGCTGACACAAGCTGAGTCTGAGGCTGAGGCAGGCTGAGGCTGAGGCAGGCTGAGGCTGAGGCCGAGGCAGGCGAATCCTTCGGAGTCCTTAGGATTCCCTAGGAATCCTTAGGAATCCATAGGAATCCCTAGAAATCAGGCTTCCTCAGGATTCCTGAGGTTTCCTAAGGATTCCTTTGGAGTCCTGAGGATGCCTGAGGATGCCTTAGGAATCCCTAGGAATCGTTAGGATTCCATTGTATCCTAAGGCCGTTGCCACTGCGACTGACACTGCGAATGCGACTGCGACTGCGAGAACAGCAGAATTCTACAACTAGATTCTCACCTGAATCTTAAGGGGACTGCTTCCAGATATGCTTATACACGTCGCTGTTAGGTTGCTTTGCCAGGATAATTATATACAAATGGATGGTTGGGGCAGAGTGCGTTTTGTATTGTTACCTCTTAGTTTTTGCTGATAGGTTTCTAGTGGTCTCAAAAGAGGGCATCTTGACGCCCCAGGGGGGTCTGGGCGGGATCCGGACAAGGAACCGGACGGATCCGTCAGCCCCAGGAATCCTTAGGAATCCTTAGGAATTCTTAGGAATCCTTAGGCATCCATTCCCAGAACACCATTCCCAGGCCACATTATGAACGCCCGGAGCCAATTATATGCCACTTCGTGTTCTTCATGTTCCCAGAAAACATTCCCAGGCCACATTTTAAATGCCCGGAGCCAACTGTGGGCCACTTCGTGTTCTTCGTGCTCCCAGAACACCATTCCCATTCAACATTTTGAATGCCCGGAGCCAACTGTGGGCCACTTCGTGTTCTTCGTGTTCCCAGAACACCATTCCCAGGCCACATTTTGAATGCCCGGAGCCAACTGTAGGCCACTTCGTGTTCTTCGTGTTCCCAGAACACAATTCCTGTACCATATTTTGATTGCCCGGAGCCAACTGTGGGCCACTTCGTGTTCTTCGTGCTCCCTGAACACCAGTCCTGTGCCATATTTTTATGCCCGAGCTGAGGCAGGCTGAGGCCGAGGCAGGCTGAGGCCGAGGCAGGCTGAGGCTGAGGCTGAGGCACGCCGGGGTAGGCTGAGGCTGAGGCTGAGGCAGGCTGAGGCTGAGGCAGGCTGAGGCTGAGGCTGACGCAGGCTGAGGCCGAGGCAGGCTGAGGCTGAGGCTGAGGCAGGCTGAGGCTGAGGCAGGCTGAGACTGAGGCTGAAGCAGGCTGAGGCTGAGGCTGAGGCTGATGCAGGCTGAGGCTGAGAGGCTGACGCTGAGGCTGAGGCAGGCTGAGGCTGAGGCTGAGGCTGAGGCTGAGGCTGAGGCCGAGGCAGGCTGAGGCTGAGGCTGAGGCTGAGGCAAGCCGAGGCAGGATGAGGCTGAGGCTGAAGCTGAGGCAGGCTGAGGCTGAGGCTGAGGCTGTGGTTGAGGCTGAGGCAAGCTGCGGCTGAGGCAGGCTGAGGCTGAGGCTGATGCAGGCTGAGGCTGAGGCTGAGGCAGGCTGAGGCTGAGGCCGAGGCAGGCTGAGGCTGAGGCCGAGGCAAGCCGAGGCAGGCTGAGGCTGAGGCTGAGGCTGAGGCTGAGGCAGGCTGAGGCTGAGGCTGAGGCTGAGGCTGAGGCAGGCTGAGGCAGGCTGAGGAGAGGCTGAGGCTGAGGCTGAGGCAGGCTGAGGCTGAGGGCTGAGGCTGAGGCAGGCTGAGGCTGAGGCTGAGGCTGAGGCAGGCTGAGGCTGAGGCTGATGAGGAGGCAGGCTGAGGCTGAGGCTGAGGCTGATGAGGCTGAGGCTGAGGCAGGCTGAGGCTGAGGCAGGCTGAAGGCAGGCTGAGGCTGAGGCTGAAGGCAGGCTGAGGCTGAGGCAGGCTGAGGCTGAGGCAGGCTGAGGCTGAGGCTGAGGCTGAGGCTGAGGAGGCTGCTGAGGCAGGCTGAGGCTGAGACAGGCTGAGGCTGAGGCTGAGGCTGAGGCTGAGGCTGAGGCAGGCTGAGGCTGAGGCCGAGGCAGGCGAATCCTTCGGAATCCTTAGGATTCCCTAGGAATCCTCAGGAATCCCTAGGAATCCCTAGGAATCAGGCTTCCTAAGTATTCCTAAGGTTTCCCAAGGATTCCTATGGATTCCTACGGATGCCTTAGGAATCCCTAGGAATCCTTAGGATTCCAGTGGATCCTAAGGCCGTTGCCCCTGCGACTGTCATTGCGACTGCGACTGCGAGAACAGCAGAATTCTACAACTAGATTCTCACCTGAATCTTAAGGGGAATGCTTCCAGATATGCTTATACACATCGCTGTTAGGTTGCTTTGCCGGGATATTTTTTTGTACCAGGGATGGTGGGGGGGCCCGCATGGACCTGGGTTGGCTCCCAGTCGCCTGGGGGAGGGGGTGTAGATTAACAGGGAACAGTGGTCAAGACTCCCTCCCCGCCCGCAAGCCGTCTCGCGCATTCCCACCCGGCCTCTCAACACATACGTAGCACCCGAGTTTGGCCCGAGCCGCAGCATATTCAGCAGTCGTCTTTGGATGGGCAGCTACTGGGGGCAAATCCGCCGCCGCCGCCGCCGCCTCCGCCGCCGCCGCCCCCGCCCGCCGCCCCCGCCGCCGCGCCGCCGCCGCCGCCGCTGTCCGCCGCCGCCGCCGCGCCACCGCGCCGCCCGCCGCCCGCCGCCCGCCGCCGCCGCTGCCGCCCCCGCTGCCGAATCGCCGCCGCCGCAGCCGCAGCCGCTGCCGCCGCAGCCGCTGCCGCCACCGCCGCCGCCGCCGCCACCGCCGCCGCCGCCGCCGCCGCCCCCGCCCCCGCCCCCCCCGCCGCCGCCACCGCCGCCGCCACCGCCGCAGCCGCCGCAGCCGCTGCCCCCGCCGAAGCCGCCGCCGCCGCCAAGTGTACTCTGTATTGTTTTTTGACGGGGATGGTGGGGGAAGGCCGCATCGGGTTCGCTGCGCATGCTCCGACTTTGGAGGCAGAGCGTGTTTTGTATGGTATTTTACAAAGGATGGTGGGGGGGCGCATGGTTTCGGGTTGGCTCCCAGTCGCCTGGGGAAAGGGGGTGTATATTAATAGGGAACAGTGATTAACCCGTCCCCAAAGGGAAAGAAGGTGGTGGAAGAGGACGCACCCTAAACAACCTATGCCCTAAAGGGGTGGTGGGATTCCGGTCACCACAGCGGCCGTCTTACCGCGACTCGCACCCCAGCTTGCTCCAACAAGCAGCATGCAATGGCAATCCCTATGTCCAAATCGCTGCCGCCTAACGGCCGCCGAACCCCCGAGACCGTGTGAAATATCCGCTCCACGGACCGGCTCTTTCCGTTCCCGTGCCAGCCCAGGTCTTAGCCCGCCCATTCCGTGCAGTGACGGTTGCGGATTTTGGGCGCTCCAACGGCCCGCGGGCCGCCCCGCCCAGACCCAAGGGGAGGGGGCCTGGGGAGTTGCAAGAGGGACCGTTCTGAACCGCCTGCGCCTTAAGCGGCTGGGAGGATTCTCTAGGTCGTCCTGAGGAGGTCGACAGGATTCCCGGTGAAATTCTCAGGGCCCTTGGGACATTTGGGGGAAGCTCTTTGGGAATCCCAAGGGTTCCTTCGGAAATCCGGAGGATTGCTTTGGGACGAGTGTCAGTTGGAATGCTGATATTTGGGTCGTTTTGGCCGACTTGTGGTCGCCTTGGGGTCCTTTTGGGCTGTCTTGGGGCTATCTTTGAGGTCTCTTGGGTCGTCTTGGGCGGTCGGAAAATCAAGCAGGCGAGCGATGTTTCTTGCCTCCTCAGGGCCTGTTGGAAGCCTCTTGGGGGCCTCCTGGGGCTTCTTGGGGGCCGTTTGGGGCCTCTTGGGGCCTCTTGGGTCGTCTTGGGATGCTCTTGTC